ATAACTGGCCCTAGGTAGTGCAGCTATATCTCCAATTAATGTTTACTCATAACTGGCCCTATGTAGTGAAGCTATTTCTGAAACTAATATGTTCACATATTACTGGTCCTAGGTAGCGAAGCTATTTCTACAACTAATTTCTTCACATATTAATGGTCCTAGGTAGTGAAGCTATTTCGACAACTAATTTACACACACACACATACTTTTGTTGTTGTTGTTGTTGTTGTTGTTGTTGTAGAGCCATTAACTCTATGGTCTCTGGGTGGGTCATGGTGTTTTCACATGACGACCCCAGCCAATCTCACATACAGCTCTCCCTTAAGAATGAACCTAGTACCATCTGCCCGACGGGCCAGGTCTCGCCGACGGTGCAGTTCCAGACGCGAGCATCCTGGAATGTTAACAGGAAATTCTGCTGACAATTCGTGCATCACCGCAGCCGTCTTCAACTCTCCACAGAAAGTTCCTCAGCTGAAACGCCAAGGAGAATGAGTTGTATTACTTGATTACGGCGTCTCATTTTTAAAGTGGTTTAATATCGGTCGATATGGGGAGACATTTAATGGGTCTCATTTGTTTGATTGACGGACATTAGATCGGTCTCATTTGTTTGATTGACGGACATTAGATCGGTCTCATTTGTTTTTTTGGGAGACATATGATTGGTCTTATATGTTTGATTGACGGACATTAGATCGGTCTCATTTGTTTGATAGGGAGACATTTGATTGGTCTCATTTGTTTGATAGGAGACATTTGATTGGTCTCATTTGTTTGATAGGGAGGACATTTGATTGGTCTCATTTGTTTGATAGGGAGGACATTTGATTGGTCTCATTTGTTTGATAGGGAGACATTTGATTGGTCTCATTTGTTTGATAGGGAGGACATTTAATTGGTCTCATTTGTTTGATGGGGAGGACATTTGATTGGTCTCATTTGTTTGATGGGGAGGACATTTGATTGGTCTCATTTGTTTGATGGGGAGGACATTTGATTGGTCTCATTTGTTTGATAGGGAGGACATTTAATTGGTCTCATTTGTTTGATAGGAAGACATTTGATTGGTCTCATTTGTTTGGTAGGGAGACATTTGATTGGTCTCATTTGTTTGATAGGGAGACATTTGATTGGTCTCATTTGTTTGATGGGGAGGACATTTGATTGGTCTCATTTGTTTGATAGGGAGGACATTTGATTGGTCTCATTTGTTAGATGGGGAGGGCATTTGATTGGTCTCATTTGTTTGATAGGGAGACATTTGATTGGTCTCATTTGTTTGATAGGGAGACATTTGATTGGTCACATTTGTTTGATAGGGAGACATTTGATTGGTCTCATTTGTTTGATAGGGAGACATTTGATTGGTCTCATTTGTTTGATGGGGAGGACATTTGATTGGTCTCATTTGTTTGATAGGGAGACATTTGATTGCTCTCATTTGTTTGATAGGGAGACATTTGATTGGTCTCATTTGTTTGATAGGGAGGGCATTTGATTGGTCTCATTTGTTTGATAGGGAGGACATTTGATTGTTCTCATTTGTTTGATAGGGAGGGCATTTGATTGGTCTCATTTGTTTGATAGGGAGACATTTGATTGCTCTCATTTGTTTGATAGGGAGACATTTGATTGGTCTCATTTGTTTGATAGGGAGGGCATTTGATTGGTCTCATTTGTTTGATAGGGAGACATTTGATTGGTCTCATTTGTTTGATAGGGAGACATTTGATTGGTCTCATTTGTTTGATAGGGAGGACATTTGATTGGTCTCATTTGTTTGATAGGGAGGGCATTTGATTGGTCTCATTTGTTTGATAGGGAGGACATTTGATTGTTCTCATTTGTTTGATAGGGAGGGCATTTGATTGGTCTCATTTGTTTGATAGGGAGACATTTGATTGGTCTCATTTGTTTGATAGGGAGACATTTGATTGGTCTCATTTGTTTGATAGGGAGGACATTTGATAGATCCCATTTGCACCAGACAGCACGGACAAAACATTTTCCGGAAAGGAAATGTTCAGCAAATCAAGAATTTGACACTTTGTTAATGAAAGCGATGACAACACCTGGCATGTGTCTGAGTTGATTACAATACATTGGCATGTGTCTGAGTTTATTACAAAACCTTGCATGTGTCTGTGTGTATTACAATACATGGCATGTGTCTGAGTTGATTACAACACCTGGCATGTGTCTGAGTTGATTACAACACGATGCATGTGTCGGTGTGTATTACAATACATGGCATGTGTCTGAGTTGATCAAAACACATGGCATGTGTCTGAGTTGATTACAACACCTGGCATGTGTCTGAGTTGATCACAACACCTGGCATGTGTCTGAGTTGATTACAACACCTGTCATGTGTCTGAGTTGATTACAACACATGACATGTGTCTGAGTTGATTAAAACACCTGGCATGTGTCTGAGTTGATTACAACACATGACATGTGTCTGAGTTGATTAAAACACCTGGCATGTGTCTGAGTTGATTACAATACATGGCATGTGTCTGAGTTGATTACAACACATGGCATGTGTCTGAGTTTACTGGCGACAGAAAGACATGATTGGAGACATGACGTCACACAGGCGATTCTCCGTGACTGTCTTTAAAACAACAACGACGACAACAACAACATCATCAAAAACACACAACCATCCACCATTTGAAGGTTCAACCCTTGACTCACGTAGGAATGGGGCTGCGGGTTGGGGGTGGTCCGCACCTGGGTGAAAAAGGGTGGGGGGTGGGGTGGAACCATTTTCTTTATATAGAATGGCGCGGATTTTTGGCCAACTGCAGAGGTTTTTTTTTCCGTGGTTATCGGTAAAACTTTTAGCCCGCCACCGGGTGTGGGGGGGGGGGCTCTAACCCCCCCCCCCATCTCCATCACTGCAATCCTTACACAGCAATCCATCATTTTAAGTACGGCTCTTACATATCAGTCTATCATTAACAAAAAAAACTCAACAAAACAACCCTTACACATCAATCCATCATTTGAAATACTGGTACAATTGGTACACATCAGTCCATCATTTGAAATACTGGTACAATTGGTACACATCAGTCCATCATTTGAAATACTGGTACAATTGGTACACATCAGTCCATCATTTTAAATAGCTGTTCAATTGGTACACATCAGTCCGTCATTTGAAGTACTGGTACAATTGGTACACATCAGTCCATCATTTGAAATACTGGTACAATTGGTACACATCAGTCCATCATTTGAAATACTGGTACAATTGGTACACATCAGTCCATCATTTTAAATACCTGTTCAATTGGTACACATCAGTCCGTCATTTGAAGTACCGGTTCAATTGGTACATATCAGTCCATCATTTGATATACTGGTTCAACTGGTACACATCAATCCATCATTTGAAATACCATTACAATTGATACACATCAATCTATCATTTGAAATACTGGTTCAATTGGTACGCATCAATCCATCTTTTGAAATACCTGTTCAATTGGTACACATCAATCCATCATTTGAAATACCATTACAATTGATACACATTAATCCATTATTTGAAATACTGTTTAAATTGGTACACATCAATCCATCATTTGAAATACCAGTAAAATTCGTACACATTAATCCATCATTTGAAATACTGTTTCAATTGGTACACATCAATCCATCATTTGAAATACCAGTACAATTGGTACACATTAATCAATCATTTGAAATACTGTTTCAATTTGTACACATCAATCCATCATTTGAAATTCTGGTTCAATTGGTACACATCAATACATCATTTGAAATACTGGTAAAATTGGTATACATCAATCCATCATTTGAAATACTGTACAATTGGTATACGTCAATCCATCATTTGGAATACCTGTAAAATTGGTACACATCAATCCGTCATTTGAAATACAGCTTCAATTGGTACACATCAATCCATCATTTGAAATACCAGTACAAGAGGTACACATCAAGCTTTTTAAAACATATTACAACGGTTGCCGGTACTAATGAGTGAATTATTTTATGTTCACAATATTCCAGTAACATACCCTAGTAACATATCCCAGTAACATCCTAGTAATATATGCCAATAACATATCCTAGTAACATATTGTAGTAGCATGTCCTAGTAACATACCTCATCTCGTCCTCAGATTTGCCACATGTTGATAGAACAAGGGGCGAAAACCCACGAAGTGGACAACGATGGAAGAATCGCCCTCATCCAAGCCTCACAGGAAGGTCATCTGGAGGTTGTGAAGAGACTGGTTGAGGCTGGGTCCAATGTCAACCACAAGTCACATGATGGGAAGACGGCCTTGAGAGTTGCAGCTGTGGAAGGTCACGTTCAGGCATGTGTCATCTGTGTCATTTCTTCCATTGAAAATACTCAACACTTATGTCAAGTTGACATGTTTTTTGTAGTGCACAAATTTAATTTCAGACAGAACAATGAAATCTAATTATATCTTGTCACTTGTGTTTATAAATAATTCATTATAAATGACAATGCTCTGAATTTCTTGGAAAAACTCATTTTAACAGTGTCTAAAATATATTTTTGTTCTTCTAATCCAGTGTTTCCAAAATTGTCCCCTGGGGTTAGGGGAATAGTTTTGTGGGGTTAAACGGTGAAAAAAAAAAATATATTTTGATTGCTATTTAAGTATGTGAAATATTTTTTTTAATAAGGGGTACTCAGTGTTACAAAAATTGTAGAGAGGGTAACACAATGTCGAAAGTTTGGGAAACACTGGTCTAATATATAAGTATTGAACTCTATAGTGATTTCTCTTCTGTAGGTCTTGGAGCATCTCCTGTCTGTTGGTGCTGATATCAATTATAAGGATCCGGACGGCCGGACGACTCTCTACGTCATAGCCCTGGACGGCAACCTGGAGATGACGGAGGCACTTTTGACCAGTGGAGCAGACATTGAGGCAGTGGACAATGAGGGGCGAACAGCACTGCACGTGGCATCCTGGCAGGGGAATGTGGATGTTGTGAGGGCCCTGGTGCAGCACGGCGCCAAAGTGAATTCCGTCGATAATGACAGGCGAACGGCTGTGCAGTCAGCATCTTGGCAGGGGCACGAGACGGTGGTCAAACTGTTGCTGGAGGCTGGGGCGAGGGTGGACCACACATGCAATCAAGGGGCCACTGCTCTGTGCATAGCAGCTCAAGAGGGGCATGAGGACGTTGTTAGGACTCTGCTCAGCTTCCAAGCCAATCCCAACCACGCTGATCAGTTTGGCAGAACACCTTACAGAGTGGCGCTAAAGAGCAACCACACCAACGTGTGCAAAATCTTAGAAGACTTTGGTGCGATAGTGCCATCCGGTGCAAAGAGCAGGAGTAATTCTTCCACTTCAAGCGGGGATATTAAGATGAATACCCCCATGTCCACCACTCAAGGGACCACAGCCGGGTCTTCAAGCATAGGTATGCAAGGGATTGAAGTAACAAATGTTATGATCCAGCCTTCTTCGGCTTCTCCAGAATCCTCGTCGGACCGCCGTAAATCCTACCATTCAAACAACTCTTCTTCTAAGTCATCAATCATTACAACTTCGACAAACCAAAGTAGTCAAAGTGGATTTGGGAACCTTTCCAGGTTGGACCGCGAATGTTTGACCTTCACCCAGCAACTCCAGCAGTGTTCCATGGGTAAAAATCGATCACGACCAATCAGCAGGGTGCTATCCCCTGTCAGCGAGCCGCAGAGTCCGCTCCATTCTCCATGTCGTACACCAGTCGTGCACAGCCCTTCTGCCCTCGGCAGTACGGATCAAAACAATATCAACATTTTAGCCCCGTCCCCCATAAAACATGGGTCATCAAAACAAGAGAGGATCTCCGCCACGATCAACATCATCACCAACCCTCATGCCGACATGATGAGCTCGGTGGAGGAGCCGGTGTGGCAGAGGAATCCCGCCCATCCCGCAAACAGTCACCACTTTGCTTCCACCACCAACAGCAGCAGCAGCAGCAGTAGCGGCTCTCACCAACTCCTCAATCACACAGAATCTCATGTCCATTCGCCAACATCAGAGTCTCCTTCAAGGATCATCATGGGGCGCGTGTCCTTAGAGAGCAAGAGCCCAGACACGAGACGGAAAAGAAACGGGATTGTGACAAATCCAAAAGTTTTAAAACCTGGCAGTGTGACAGGGGCACCGAGGTACAATCATCTCTCCCAAGACCTAGATACCCAATTAGCATCCCATTCACCGACAACAAACGGCTTTAGTAATATTCTACCACCAGGCTCACATGAGGATATAATCCGTGCAAACCTGCTTACTAGGACGGTCAGTGCGCCGACCGGCCATGTTAACCCTGGACCTGGTCAAATCCAACTGTCGGCTAAAGATAAGATGTCACCAGAGTTACCTATAAGACAGCAAGTAAAACCGGTCCGGCCAAGTGGGCTGCCAATAAAAAAGATTAACTCTCCACAGTAAGTTTCCATAAGACAATAGTCCATTTAACATAAACCGTATTTTCTGCATCTATAATAACATTTGCTCATAAGTTACATCTGAGTAAACTTCAAGATGGACTTGACAGCATCAGTAAAGGCAATTAGCAATTGTTTTTGACCTAAAAAAATGGGATGGATTCATTTCACATATAGTTATTAAAATGGGGACGATTTCTTCTTTTTTAATGCAAGATAAACTCATTGTTTTCTGCGGAGATGCTGGCTGAAAATCTAAACTAAAAAAGTTGACAATGATTTTGAAGCAAAGCTTTTTTTTAATCATTTGGATAATTCTGCCAACTGCTTTTGCATGTGTTTTTGAATTTTAAACAAATAAAAAATGACATGAGACTAGTATTAACTGATCATTTCTAGGCTAGTCAGTGAGTTTAATTCAAATAGAGTATTTATATACAAAATTTGTTTGCGATGTTTTTCGTTTTCCTAGTGAAATACCCTTTGTAAATGTATCGGGTTTGCCGTGGACTTTGGTTCTACAAAAATTGGTCCAGACTGAAAATAGGTTGAGATTCCTTGTACTAGAAAGTAATAAATGCTAATAAATAGTGGAAATTAATAAATAAAATTAGATTATTTCAGCAGAGGCTGAATGATCTTGACATAATTGAACACTCTTTCATCTTCTCTGTTTATGCATCCTTTTGAGTTCCTGGCCCCATACACTCTTTACTCTGTAACACCATTTTCCTATACTCCTTTTCCCCTCTACACACCACACACCATTTCCCAACATTGACCAATGAAGGCAAGCATGAGAAAATAAAAGGGAAAGAAATATACCCATGGCCTTATTGAAGAAAACCAGTTGATCAGACTCTTACTCTTATGAAAATATATTAATTTGAACTCTTTATTTTATGCTGTAGTTTCTACTGATGATGATGAAGAGAAAAAATGCATTCTGCTGAATTCTGACCCAGTGGACATCATCTGTGCTGCAGCTGTGAACAGAGTCAAGCTTAAGTGGACATCATCTGTGCTGCAGCTGTGAACAGAGTCAAGCTTAAGTGGACATCATCTGCGCTGCAGCTTTGAACAGAGTCAAGCTTAATTTATTTTTGTGGCTTTATTTATTTGGTTGGCACATATTTGGTTCTGTGTAAGTACTTATATTGGTAAAAACACTACTTTAATTTCAATCTTGGGATGTTACGATGTTTGCTTCCTAAATAAATTTTACTTTGGATCTCATTGTTTGTAAAGTATTCTATTTTTTATTGTTATTTTGATTTTCCTGAAACAAAAATAATTTTATGAGATCTGAAATTCATTGTTTTACGTTTTTTTTTGTTTTTTTTTTCCAATATTCTTACATTTGTATGAAGACCAAATAATTTTACATTTTTTTTATTAACTAGCCGTACATTCATTATGCACTAGTTTTCAAGTTTGTATGTGCTTACCAAAAAAAACTATGATGCATCTTGTCAACAAGTTATCATTTAATATTAAATTCTCTATGCATGATCAGTTTAAAGCTTACCAAAAAATTCTATACTCAAAAACCTGTGATTTATTAAAATTATTCAGATAATTTATTTGTGTGTGCATGGAAATTTTTTTTAAACAATGGGAGTTGGGGGGGGGGGGGCGAAGACAGAAAGTTTAATTCAAATTTTATAAGCTCAAGCTTATAAAAATAAAAAGTATTTTTAAAATAAAGTAGATCAAATGTTTAAGATTGATCAAAAAAAAAACTTCAAAATTTTTGTTTGATAATTTATTTGTGTGTGCATGGAAATTTTTTTTAAACAATGGGAGTTGGGGGGGGGGGGGGTCGAAGACAGAAAGTTTAATTCAAATTTTATAAGCTCAAGCTTATAAAAATAAAAAGTATTTTTAAAATAAAGTAGATCAAATGTTTAAGATTGATCAGAAACAAGACTGCAAAATTTTTGTTTTAAATCTCTTAAATATTTTTCGTACACAGCACAAGTTGATTTCACTCTCCTGCGAGTTAGATTTCTTATTTCATTTTATCTGTACATTTTTTCTATTTATTTGCTCAAAATGACTAAAAGTCAATGCATTAGACGTTTTGTCTCAATTTAAGAATAAAAATATCTTGTATTATTTATACTCTGCATCAATTCATACATTTCATAAATTTCTTTGATTTTTTAAAAACATTTTTCTTGTAATATAAGTAGACCCAATAATTAAGCCAATTGAAAATCTAGATTCTTAACCATATCTTATTTTCAGGCAAGTGCAACGAAAAGGACAACAATCACAATTAAGTTTAGTTCATATTAAGTCCCTCAATTTTAATAATTTTGTGTCAATATCAACACAAAAATTGAATCAAGAATTCTTGATAGAACTTGTCATTTAGTTTTAATTTCAAATGCAGAGGAACATCATTTAGTTTTAATTTCAAATGCAGAGGAACATCATTTAGTTTTAATTTCAAATGCAGAGGAACATCATTTAGTTTTAATTTCAAATGCAGATGAACATTTTTTTTTCTTTCAGATGACTGGTATTTATCATCATCTTTTGTTCCTTTCATTTAAGCAAGTCCAGCAACTCTCAAAATTGGGAAAAAGAGGTTAATTTATAAAATAATATTTTAGATTTATCAACACAGGCTAAATTTTTTATACCCATAAAAAATTAATTTGAACCTAAAAAGATTAAGTTATTTTTTAGTTGTAATTAAAAGTTATCCTTTAAATATAAGAATACTTGAATAAATACCTTTAAAAGTTGTAACATTTTTAAATACATTATAGGATTATTTATTTTTAAAAAAATTGCTTGTATATTTTCTCTAACTAATATTGGCACAATTTTTCATTGAAATCTTTATTTCCTAATTATTGTTTTAAACAAAATTAATGGGTTTTCTTAGCAATAATTTATCAAGTCCTTTGTACTCTTGGCATTAGTAAAGAATTTCAAGTCCATTTTATGTTCCATTTACAATAATTGTAATTGATTAATTTTGCAAATTTGTTAGTTTCCAGCGTCTTGTGCACAATCAAGTACATCAGCAGCAATCAATCTGATTTTATTTAAATTTGACATCCATGTCAATGCAAACTGTAAATGTCATTTATTCTCAAATTAAGTTCATTGTCTTGGTCTTACAAAGCATGAAGTGACACCACTTACTAGAGACATTTGTTTGGGGTGCTCACATAGATGTAGATCTAATTTAGATTCAATGACAGTTATATTTTAGTTAACTATTGTTGACATTGAGTGGTCACAATTATTTTGTCTCAGATTTAACTTTTGTGTGTAAAGTAAAAATGAAACAAATACTTATTTTGTATTTTAAAAACTTGTATTTATTTCTTGCTCAGCTAATATTTTTTTCATTTTGCATTTTACAAAAAGTTTGTAATCCCAATTTCACATTTGAATAATTATGCCATTATATATTATAACTACACCAGTATTTCAAATCTAAATACATCTTGGTTTCATATACTAACAAGATTCACATAGTTCCCAGCCATCGTCATCCATCAAAGCTGGTTTTCATTAAGTTCATGTATTGCTAACACAAGGTGTTTCTTGAATTCCCTAATCAGAGAAATTTTCTTATGACTTAAGATCACAACAGTACCATGTTTTAAATGGATAATTAAACATTCTTCATTAGAGGAAAACATGGAGTATGGAGGACTGTGTTGGGGTTGGAGCAAAAAAAAAAAATATAATACATAGGGTAGAGGCAAACATTGAAAAAATACAACACAATTTTTTAATGTATTTAAATGTCTTGCTTTGTTTTTAAAGCATTTTAAGACTGCCAATTTAGGTAAAATATTTTTTACTATTATTTTTATTATTATTTATTTAACTTCTAGAATTAACATATCATTAATGTGTGTTTTTTCTTAAAACCTGTATGATGCAGTTTAAAGATACATATTTAAAATTACTGTTTGCAAAATGCTTGATCAGATTCAATGTTTGGATACCATAATGAGACATAATGAGCAAACACTATGATAAGATTCAGTGATCAGATACAATGATCAGATGTAATAACAAAGCACTATGATCAGAAACAATGATCAGATACAATGATGAGATGTAATGATCAAACACTATGATCAGATGCAATGTTCAGAGACAATGGTGTGACACAGTCATCAGATATAATGGTCAGATACAATTATAATGGGTGCCCCTAATTATCTATATGTCAAAAGTGAGTGTATGTGTTATTACCCTTTCTCTCATCCGATCTCGTGAAAGTTATTTCCCTTTTCCCCCCATCTGATTTTTAAAAAAAATGCTTTCAATACTGCACATGCTCTTACATATATAATTTAAATGAACACCCACAAATATATTGTACTCTTCCTTGTTTAAAATTAAGAATATGGTTAGAAAAAACAACACAACTTTAAAGTAAAGTTTCATGTCCACTCAAGCTGTTGAATTCATTACTACAGCAAAATAGTATTTTGATTATAATGTGGGTCACAGAGCTCAGTGTGTAAATCACTGATGTCAATAAAAATACAGTTCATTGTGTAAAACACCAATGTCATTAAAAACACAGTTCATTGCGTAAAAAACTTATGTCATTAAAATAATGACCAGGGAAAAACAAAGGAAAAATATACAGGATAGCAAGCTGAGATACTGGCAAAAAATATCAGCTGCTTTTGTAAAACTTTGGTAAAACTCTTAAAATTAAAAGGACAACGTTTCATTGCATGCTAAAACCACAGATAACGGAAATCATACTTAACTAAAAATATCTAGATTTGATGTTTACATACAGCTCAATTCCAATCCATCTTTATCTGCATGTCTCCATTTTGTTGCCTAATCCTTTTGTCTCTTTGCTATTTGATTCACTAATTTTTTACTTTAATTCTTGGCCAGTTTCACACTCTGAAAGAATGAATTGTAATCATAAAAAAATAAGAAAAAAATGGACGTTTTTTGTTTATTTTTGGAATTAATTAACAGTAGAGAAAAGCTACATGT